ACGCGATTGATGCTGCGGAGCAGGAGGACGAGGATTGGCTGCTGCTGATGGTTGATTTCCAGAAGGCCTACGATTCGGTATCGCGGGAATACCTTTTCGCGACGTTGGGCAATATGGGTTTCCCGGAGAAGTTCACAAGGTGGGTGAAGGGTCTTCATGATGGAGCAGCTACCAAGGTGCTGCTGAATGGCTGGATAGGGGAGCGGGTGGAGATGGCCAAAGGTGTACGCCAGGGCTGTCCGCTCGCCCCTTATCTCTTCCTTTGCGCGGTCGAGCCACTCTGCCAAGAAATAGAACGGAGGAAGCTGGGGGTCAGGAAGAGGGGAGTAAAAGGGAGTTTAGACTACATTGGTTATGCGGACGACACGACTCTGGTCCTGAAAGGCAAGGAGCAGGTGGAGGTTGCCGAGAAGCTGCTGGGGGAGTTCGCGGAGGTCTCGGGGCTGAAGGTGAACCATGATAAAACAACACTGATGCCGCTGGGGAAAAACCTAAGGAGGTTGCAGCCGATTGCGTCGTCTTTCAAGTGGGCGGAGAAGAACAAATCAGAAAGGCTACTCGGAATCTAGATCACCTCCGGAGGCTCGCCGGGGCCTGCATGGGACAAAGCTTTCGAAAAAGTTAGCGCGGTGCTGAGCTGTTGGGAGACTAAGCATCTCAAAACCTCGGCACGGGTCACAATCATAAACAGTTACGCGATGCCAATCCTGCTTTTCCAGGCGCAGATTTATGCCCCACCGTACGAGGTCTGGACCAAGGTGAAGAGGCTGTGTCATAATTTCATCTCGGGAGGGAAAGCGCTCCTCGACAGGCATTTCACACTGTGGAGTTACGAGCTGTCGTGCAGAGGACGGAAAGAGGGTGGTCTGGGTGTGATTGATTTGAAGCACCGGATTGACAGCATGGTGATCCAGGGATTGGGGAAAGCCCTGGCGGAGCAGGAACCACTCAGGAACTGGCTGTGGGAGAGGGCGGCAGCCTTTCCTCTAGGCTTGGCGACGATCTACCCTTCGGTCCTGAAGTCCTGGTTGGGGGGAGGCATGCGATGGAAAGCTACAATAAAAGCGCTGTGGGACTCAAAAATTGTGACCATAGGTGACCCGGCTCACAGGTGGGACGCTGAGGAGGAGCAGCTACTTTTCAACCGAAAATTCTTTTTCAGAGGAAGGTCACCCTTCGGAAACCAGGCGGGCTCGCACTGTCTGAAGGGCATCCGACTTGGGGACTTGGTGGCGAAAGGTGGAGATGGCAGCAGATCCCGTAAGAGCTAAGAGGTCCTGGAGCGGGAGCTGGGAGGGGTGGAGCAGAGGAAATGGGCCTTGAAAGCATGGGACGCGACGCCACAGACGTGGAAAGATTTGGTACTCAACCAACTGTCGGCGGAGGAGTTTTTTAGGGAAATAAGGCTGGTCCGCTCTGCGTCTTACCGTCCGGGAGAATTCTTTTACTACCAGCTGCAGTATGTGAGCAACGGTGAACTTTACGGTCGGAGAGTGATGGTGGACAAGAGAGGGAACCTAACGGAGTTGGAGTATGCCAGCGCGGTAACGGTGGAATTTCGGCGCGTTTCACCCATGGCAGTCATAGACGGGAGAGTCCGCGGCCTACTCGGCGCTCCAAGAACGTGACTGCTCTACTCAACAATCTGTGAGAAAGGCAAGAGGGCTGATCTAAAGAAGCTGAGGAAGGCGATGAAACCCTCGGTGGTGCAACCGAAGCAGCAGTTGAAGTGGGAAGAGGAGCTGGGGAGAAAAATTGGTTGGGGGAAGGCCATCATGGTCCGTGACTCGCTGGTGACTCCATGCAGGGCACGAGAAGTGATACTGAGGGTGCACAGTAACAACCTACAAGTGGGTGAACGGCTCCCTTTCTTGGGCGCAAGAGCGAAATGCACGCACTGTGGCGGAGTGGAATCGCAAGACCACTGCCTTTTCAGCTGCCCGGTGATTCAACCAGTGGTGGATGTGATGAGGAAAGCGGTGCAATGCATGAACCCGGGCAGAGACATGAAGTCTCTCGGAGACATGCTTTTCCAACGGAGTGGCACGTCAACCGGCTTCCCTGAGGCTGCAATTATATCCATTACAGCGCACCAAGTTTGGTTGGAGAGGTGCAACGCGGTTTTCCGTGGTAGCCGGTTCCAGCCAAAAAGGGCACTGAGGCGCATAGCAGTTGGCTTCACACGGCACGTGAAGATCTACAGCAGAGCGCGGAAGAGAATGGCTGGCAGGAATGTTTCGAAAAGGGCGGGCGACTGGGGCCACTTGTATGCTCTGCGCAGGCTCTACGAGACAGAGGCTTCGATGACGTGGAGAGCTGGTTTCAAGGCAATCTGGGAAGATGGCGGTGTAGCTTTCCAACCTCCGTAAAAAGATAAGGGGGGTTCTGGTTCCTTGTAGCCTTTCCATGCCCTCCTAGCAACAGTTACGACTGCGGATGTATGCATGCTGTTAGTATACTTATATCCACCAAAAAAAAAAAAAAAAAAAAAAAAAAAAAGAACGAAGCACATTGCTCTTCGCTACTTCCTCGCACGTGAGCTGCAGCAGCGTGGTCAGCTGCGCCTTGCTTACGTGGCCACTCAGGCCAACACTGCTGATATCTTTGCCAAGGCGCTTCAGCCTTGTGATCATCAGCGTTTCTGTACTGTTCTAGGCCTTGTGCCTACTGTGCCTCACTTGCTTACCTCTTGACTCTGCTTGTACTGTGATCTCTATACATATACCTGCATGCTTACACTTGCTAGGTTGTAATCACTGTACCTCTTCTTATATATCAAACTGCATGTGAACTGGTCTTGTGACTGCTTGCTTGTGCTCGGAATTTGTGTGGTATCCTTGAGATCCACCCTGAGCTTGCTTTGCTTTTCTTGACTGGTCTTGTGACCTCTTGTTCTCCCCCACTTTGCCTATGGGGGTGTGTCAGACTTATATGACATTGTCTGTGTAGGCTGTAGTGGGGTAGACAATATGGGGTACAACACTTTTAGGGTTTCCTACTTGTACCCACATGTTTGCTAGTTCATTCATTCCTCGTATTATTCTCACAATCCAACCACCAGCTGTATCAGCAGCAACTCGGCTTCCTTCTCTTTGCTGCCGTGACGTGCAGGCCTGACCTGTCCTACATCTCGAGCCAGCTCGCTCAGTATGCCAAGCTGCCTGAAGGGGAGCACATGCTGGATTTACAGCGCGCCTTGCAGTACTTCATCTCCACACCGCACATTGGCCTCACCTACTCAACCCTCACAACCGGCTCCTTCAGCCTCGTTGGCTACGTGGACGCAGATCATGCCGCCGACCCTGCAAATCGACGGTCCCGAACCGGTTTTCTCTTTCGCCTCGAGCCCACTGGCCCAATTTCCTAGAACTCTCAGAAGCAAGAAATGGTGGCGCTCTCCTCTGCTGAAGCTGAATTCATCGCTGCCACATCAGCAGTTCGCGAAGGTCTCTACCTTCTGGAACTACTCCAGGAGGCGAAAATTGCGACATCCGCAAGCTTCAAACTTCACTGCGACAACCAGAGCGCGATCAAAATTGCGAACAAACCTGGCTTCGTCAACCGCACCAAACACACCGCACTCCGCTACTTCTTCGTCAAAGACGAAGTTGACAAAGGCAAAGTCATCTTGACTTACTGCCCCATTGGCGACATGGCAGCTGACTTCCTCACCAAGAAACTGCCACGTCAGCAGTACCATCACTGCGGAAACATCTGCGGCATAACCAAGCGCGTCAAGACTTCGCTCCTCCAGGAATGAAGGGGAATGTTACGATATGGAATAGTTGAATAAACATTCATGAGTAACAAATCCTTAACGCGAAGATGACTGCAGCGAGGACGAAAGACCAAGCGACGAGACACTTATCGAGACAGTTACAAGCAGGAAGAATTTGAAGTGCAAAGCGCGGGAAAACTTCAAACGGTTACCGGACCGCGTACGGTTACCGAACCGCACGGTTGCAATCCTGCATCTAGATTAGCCCTAAGGGGAATGTACCCCCTCAGAGTACATGGCTAGCTAGGACCTTTCATATTCCGCTGTATTCTTATATAAACCCCTGTACCGCATTGTATTAGTCACTTCTGTCGAGATTCAAATCTCCTTCTACTGACAGAGTCCGTACCCGACATTACCTAGCAAACTTCCGCTGCTACACTCCGTGCGATCAACCTGAGACGATCCTATAAGACGGTTCAGATTGCATCACAAATGGCTCACCTTAATGCGCAGACTGGTCCGTTTTATCCGTCGCAGTTAAGCGCAGCAATCGACCCTATATATTTTGCCCGACGGTGCCCTTTTTAGCAACAAGGAGATACTATTGTAGATTGTTGTGAACATTAAAACCGGGCTTCCATTTACACAATTCAAACGATCATGCTTCTACGACGTACATTTGGAGCTGTGTAACAACAAGAAAACAGAAATTGAATAACTGGGGCTCCGTTACGGTATGTTAACGGGTTTCCTTATTTCCTGTCATGATTTCGTACCTTGTGAGCGCGCCTGCGCGCCTGACATCATTGCGCGCCAGCCACAGTTCCGTAACTCTGACGACAAAAGACTGCAGGGTAATTTGTTTCAGTTTTGTTGGACTGTTTTCGAAATTTCTTCCAAGAATAAAGAGCAGACTCATTGACGCTTGTAGTCATTTTTTTCCATCTGTTGACATGGTTTGACGGACTATATAAGAATCATGATAGGATTAATTTCCAAGTAAATTATGCTTTACATTTATTGGAAATAAAGCGAGAGGCGAAGATTGTGATGCCACGTCGCTTTTCTCCCTCCCACCAACAAGCTTTCCCTCAGGTCGCTCGGGGCATCTACATCAACTGCTTTCTCACTCTCTTTCTCAGATCCACATGTAATCTTGCCGCATACCCTCCAACACGCATCGCTTTCATCCTAATTCCGTACGCAACGGATTTTTCGCGTTCCTCATTCCCTAAAGAAAGCAGGCTCCGTGCTCCTTCCCAGACAGCCCTGAAGCAGAATGTTCAGCGGCGGTGCGTCGGACGGGGAAGACGACGAGTGGGAGGCTTGGGACGGCCTTCCCGAACCGCTCGCCTCGACGCGCGGTGAATCGGCAGGGGTATTAGGAACGGGGAAGAATGGGTGGGATCATGCGGCTCGTGTCGCAGACGAGGAGGAGGAATGGGAGGATTACGAGTGGGAAGAACGGGAGGAGCGGGAGGAGCGGGAGAGAGTTGCGAAGCTCGTGCACGGCAAGGCATGGGAGCGTATGGAGGAAAGATCGCTTGACTCTGACGAGAATCTTCGAAGAAAGGGGAAGGAGTTGGCTGATTGCGAGGAGGCTGCGGGGGGAAAGGAGAACGCGGAAATGTCTGGGGGAGAATTAGGCGGGAAAGGCGGGGTAGAAGCGGGTGGGAGCGGCGGAGGGGGAGCGGGAGGGGGAGGGGGTGAAGAAGGGGGATGGGATGGTCTAGTAAGCGTCACGATGGATGGGGGGTTGGGGGAGGAGGGGTTAAGAGCGGTGGGAGGGAAGCGAGGGAAGGGGGCGGCGAAGAGAGTGCGACGCGCCACGGCAGAAGACAAGGTGAGAGGATTATTCAGTCGAGTCAAAGATAAGGTGAGCCATGGCTGCTACTGGTGGCATGTCCTGTAAACGCTTTTTCAGAAGGTATGTATAGTTTCTCCCGGACCCATGTGCTTTTATTTCCATTTCTACAGGAAACTCGAATCACAAGTCATTTTGTGTATGCCATGCCGAGTGGTGAGCGCGCCAGCACATCTTTTCTAAGACGAGCTGTTTCTGTACAGGCCCGTATTGAGTTGAGTGTATCCTCCTCCCTCCTGTAGCCTTTACATCGTTTTTTATGTATCTAATCCCCACATCTCCACATTTTCCCCCCTATCCCCACCCCACCAATCCCCACATGTCCCCGCCTATCCGCACCTATCCCCCCCTTTCCACCTTCTCTGCCGTGCAGGAGTGGTGTCAGTCAGTGCATCGCGTGCACCTGCTCTGCCTGCTCGCCCGTGCTCTAGCGCTCGACAGGGCCGCAGATGACGTGCTCCTGCAGGTGGGACGGGGATAGGAGTGTGTCTTTAAGGCGCCATATGATAATTACCGTGCGCTAGCCCTCGACAGGGCCGCAGATGATGCTCTGCTGCAGGTGGGACGGGGTTAGGAGTTTGTTTATAAGGCGCCATATGATTACCGTTCTCTAGCGCTTGACAGGGCCGCAGATGATGATGCCCTCCTACAGGTGGGAACGACGCACGCACGCACACATGTGTTAGTAGTTCAACTTACCTATGTGCTACTTCTTCTATGTTGCATTGCTATGTGGTGGATGGCTCGAATGTGAAAGGGCTGCCTTGCAAGTGTGCCATTGTGCTTGGGTGTGTGCGTCCGTGTGCGCGGGCACTTGCATGAGTGCATGCTGCTTGTTCTAGTGTTGCGCTTGGTGGCAAGTCAAATATTATTATACGAGTCGGTGCTATCCATTGTCTTGACGTCTCAATGTCTTGGTTTTTCTATGTCTTAATGTCTTGGATGTTCTGCTCTGTAACTACTCCACTCCACTCCTCCAGGTCACCACCCCTCTCTCCAACCGTCTCCTCCATTTCCTTCCTCCCCCCACCCCGCACCCCTCCTTCAATCCTCATGCAGGCGGCCATGCTATCGCTAGCACCCAGACTCCTATCGGAGGAGGCACAGGAGGCAGCAGCATCGCACCAGGCTCCCTCCCTGCACCTGCTGCAACAACTCACATCCTGGGTCCGTCCGTCCCTCTGTCCATCCGTCCCTCTCTGTCGGCCATTCTTTGTATTCACCCATTTCCTGATTGAGAACCCATTTTCTTCTGTCCCCCAACCACCATACCTTTCAATAGAAGCTGTCTTTCCCTACATGTTGTCTCACCTCGTTCGTCCCCACCTCGTTCTACACTGCCTTTCAAGTCAACTCAACATTTGAGGCGCCTCAAAACATGAGACGGCTTTTGAGGCGCCTCAAAAGTCTTTCAAGTCAACTCAACATGCCATGGCAGCATGGCCTACACAACACACTCAGCTTCTTCCCCCCGTCGTCCAAACCTCCCATGCAGGTCCGGTCTGCATTCACCCTTCAACCATCCTCCTCCTCCTCCTCCTCCTCACCGTTCCAACCCCTGCCACCAGCACAGCTGCAGCATCAGCCCAGCCGCACAGTCAACAACCACAGCAGCAGCGGCACTGGGCAGCAGCAGTCGCCTCTCTCTCTCTCTGCGCATCTCACAGAGGGTCTACACCAGGCAGTGGCGCGGAGAGGGGGCTCTGCTGAAGAGATTGCTGCTCTCTCTGTCGCTCTCTTCCGTGCTCTTGGCTTCACTGCCAGGTACTGTCTGTCTGTCTGTCCGCCTGTCTGTCTGTCTCTTGCAGTTTGTGTCCCTTGGTGTTCCTTCGACGTGGGTTTCAGGCCATTTTGATTTGGATCCATTCAGCTCCTTGTGAATTCTCGTTCACTAGTGGCTTCTCAAATTGTTCCTGCCAATTCCAGTCATCGTGCGCTCAATTCATCTGTCTAACCTCCGTCATCAATGCTCACCTTACTTCCTCTGTGAAATGCATTCATTCCTCTTTCCTCCCTCCTCCACGCACATCCCACCCATTCCCGTCCCCCTACACCCCCCTACAGGCTAGTGACAGCCCTCTCCCCCTCCCCTCTGAAACCCACCGCCCAGCTCCTATCAGAATTCGACCATTCCTCCGACACCCCCTACCCACGCACACCCGCCTCCCGCTCCCCCTCCCCGTTCACGCATCGCACGCGCATCCTCCCCCTCTCCTCCACCGCTCCCGCCGCTTCCTCTGAACCCACGCCTGCGCCTGGGAATCAGGTGGCTGGTCTGTCTTCAGGTGTTGCTGCTGCCTTGCCTGGTGCGCGCTTTGCCAAGAGACGCACTGCTGTTGCTGCCATTGCCGCCGCTGCTGCTGCTGCTGCTGCTGGTGCTGGTGCTGGTGCTGCTGCTGCTGGTGGTGTTGCTGCTTCTCCTGCTGTGTTTCCTGGTGGCCCCGCACCTGCTATTCCGATTGCTGATTGCGATCGTACTGCTGGTGCGGCTGGTAGTGCTGGTGTTGCTGCTGGTGGGAGGGGCAGGAGAGGAAAAAGGGCGGGAACGAGTGGGACAGGCAGGGCGGGGAGTAGAAAGCAGACAGTAGGAGAGGGTGTTCTGAACTCTAATGCATCTGCGGAAGTGCCTGTTCAGGCAGAAGAGGTAAAAGAGGCAGAGGAGGCACAGATACGCGGTGGTGGCACCTGTGGCATAAGAGGCAGAGGCAGGGGCAGTCGTGAGGGTGGTGGTGGTGGTGGTGATTCTAAAGGTCAGGTGGGTGGAGAGGAGGACGCGGGAGAGGGGAGTGGGGGAGTTGGAAGGAGTGAGAGAGGTGGTAGAGGACGGGGTGGGGGAAAGGGGAGAGGAAGGGGAGGGAGAGGGAGTGTGGTGGGAAAGAGGAGGCGTGGGAAGGGGGAGGAAGTGGAGGACAGAGGGGGAAGTGGGGAAAGAGAGCAGGAGGGGTTGGGGGTAGGGCGAGTAACACGACAAAGGGTAAAGAGAGAGAGGGAGGTGGGGTGTGAACAGAGCGAGGATGAGAAGCGAACAGGTGGGGATGATTGTAGTGTAGGGAACCGTCAAGGAGGTGATTGTAAAGGAAGTGGCTGTCAAAGAGATGATTGCAGAAGTCCTGTGGTTGGGGTAAAGGTTGAGGAAGGGGTGTTGGAGGAAGGAAAAGGAGGAGGGGATAGAGGAGCAGGGGACTATAAAGATGTAGCAGAGGTGGATGGAAGAAGAGGAGGAGGAACTGGAGGAGGAGAAAGAGAGGGAGAAAGAGCAGTAAACGCAGGAGGAGGAGGAGGAGGAGGAGGAGGAGGAGGAGGAGGAGGAGGAGGAGGAGGAGGAGGAGGAGGAGGAGGAGGAGGAGGAGGAGGAGGAGGAGGAGGAGGAGGAGGAGGAGGAAGCGATGAATTGCATGCAGAGCAGCAGCGGAAGCGAAAGCGGAAAGGAGATGAGGAGTTTGAGTTGCAGCTAGCTATGGCCATGGCTGCTACTGCTGCTGCTGCCCCTGCTGTTGCTGCCGGTAACCCCTCTCCCACAGCAGCAGCAGAGACAGCAGGGGGTGCAGCGGTTGCAGCAGCGGTAGCTGGCATTGCTGCTGCCTCCTCCAGTGCTTTGACAAATGCTTCCACCAGCAGCGCAGGAGGCTCACAGACAGATGCTCGGACGGGAAAACCAAGTGGAGGAGCAACAGGAGGATCAACTGGAGGGAGCACAGGAGGAGGCACAGGAGGAGGAGCCACAGGAGGAGGAGCCACAGGAGGAGGAGCCACAGGAGGAGGAGCCACAGGAGGAGGAGCCACAGGAGGAGGAGCCACAGGAGGAACAACATCCCTTGGGCAGGAAGCAGTTGTCAGCTGGAGCAGCCTTGCAACGAACAGGAGTGGTAGTTACAGGCCCAGCAGCAGCAGGAACGGCAGAAGTAGCAGCGGCGGTGCAGTGGTGTGGTCGCGCCAGTTTGCCTCAGTGTCGCACTGGGCTGAGGTGTTTGTGAGTGGCAGGAAACGATGCCAGGCAGATGGCTCTGAGAGCAGCAGTGCTGCTGGGGGGGAGAAGAAGGGGAGTGCTGGAAGGTTGGGTGGGAGGGCCATTGGTGGGAGGAGAGGTGGGAATTCACGTGGTGGTAGTGGCGCTGCTGCTGCTGGTACTGGTACTGGTTCTGGCTCTGCTGCTTCTGCTGCTGCTGCTGCTGCTGCTGCTGGTGCTGGCAGTGTGGGGCGGTGGGTGCATGTGGATGGGGGGAGGGGGGTTGTGGATGGGGAGGAGAAGGTGGAGGGCTTGTTGATGGGCATGTCTCAGCCTCTCACGTATGTCGTTGGCTTGGCGGGCGGTGGAGCCAAGGACGTCACAAGACGGTACGTACTTTACTTTCTATCTCTGCTGCTGCATGTTTGAGATTGAGAATTCTTACCAAGTGACTCAGCCTCTCACGTACATCGTTGGCTTGGCGGGTGGTGGAGCCAAGGACGTCACAAGACGGTACGCACTTTACTTTCTATCTCCGCTGCCACTTTACTTTCTATCTCTGCAGTGTCTCTGCTCGCCTCGCCTCTGCTCACGTTTGCTCACCTCTGCACCTCCGCACTCCCCCTGCTCCGCCTTCCCCCTTCTCCGCACCCCCCCTGCTCCTCACTCTCTTCCTTTTCACCTACCCTTGCCCTCCTGCAGTTACACTGCACGCTGTTCAGGGATCGCACTCACCCGCTCTGTCCTCTCCTCCTGAGATCGCTGAACAGCGATCTCACCTCTCAGGATGGAGGTCTGGTCTTGTGGTGTGGTGTCACAGCGTCCACCCTGCTCTGTCTCTCCCCCGTGCTGTGACACGTCACGTCTCAGTGCTCTACTCTCTCCTCCTCGCCGCCCCTGCCCTCCTTCAGCTACGCTGCACGCTGGTCACTGATCTCGCCTGTCAGGGACGAAGCCTGGTGGAGCGTCCACCCTGCCCTGTCTGTCGCACCCCCTGCTAACACACGCACGCCTCAAAACGCCTCTCTCTTTTCTCCTCGCCTCCCCTTCTCCCCCTGCAGCTACGCTGCACGCTGGTCCCTGATCTCGCCTCTCAGGGACGAAGCCTGGTGGGCATCCACCCTGTCTCCCTTGCGATCACTAGAGGCCGCTGCCACTGCTGCCAACCGCTTCCTCCCTCCTCCTCCCGCTCCTCCTCCTGCTCTTCCTCCTCCTGCTCTTCCTCCTGCTGCTCTTCCTCCTCCTGCTCCTGCTTCCGCTCCTTCTCCTCCTCCTGTGCTCCCATCCTCTTCCATCCCAACGGTTCCAGCACCTCTAACTCCTCCTAACACCCAGGCTAACCCCTCAGCACCGTTCTCTGTAACCCCGCCACTCCCAGCCCCTGTCCTCGCCTCCTCCCCGCCCCCCTCCTCTGTGATCCCCCTGCCGGTATCCGCTGCAAGTGCAACTGCAGCTGGAACGGCAGGTCCAGCCAGAAGGATTGCGGCAGTTGTGGGGGCTGCTGTTGCTGCGCCGACTGCTGCTGTTGCCACGCCAGCTGAAGGAGGAGCAGCAGCAGCAGCAGCAGCAGCACCACCACCACCACCACGAGCAGCCGCAGCAGCATGGGACGAGCGTGCAGCAGCGGAGGATATGGAGATGGACGTGAAGCAGCTCACAGAGCCACTGCCCTCCAACCAACAGGTGAGGTCATGCCTTCCCTCCTTCCTGCACCCTGCTCACAGCACCGTGGCCCTCGTTACAGCAGGCAGGCACAGTGCTGCTGTGTTTTAAGGCGACTAAAAGCAGTGCTGCCCTGCCCTCCGCCATTCGTGCCACTCCTTTGTTCGGTACTCTTCCCCACCCCCTCCCAACTCGCCACAACCCCCACCCCGCACCCCTTCACCCCCCACCCACTCCACCCACAACCTCACCTCCCACCCTGCACCCTCCAGGCGTGTTCTAAGAGAATTCTCAATAACACCCGGTGGCACAGGCTGCTAACTCCCACTCCCACACAACCCCGTTGGCCCCACTGCACCCGGGCCGGGTTACCGCAGCCTCCCTCTGTACATGCGAGTGCAGAGCCCTCGGGCTGGGCACATACCAGTGCCTCGTTGTGTTACTCCCTGCCACCCCCCCCCCCCCCCCCCCCCCCCCACCCCCCCTCTCCCGTTCTTTCTCCCCTTCCAGGCATACCGCCACCATCCTATCCTCTATACGTGTTCAAGCGGTGGCTGATTAAGTTTATTTTTTAGTCGACTCAAAAATCGACCATCCTATCCTATCCTATCCTCTACACGTGTTGGAGCGGTGGCTGGGCGCGTACCAGTGGCTGCGACCCAGGGGTCCTGTGCTGGGGGGTTCGACTTTTGAGGCGCCTCAAAAGTCGACCCAGGGGTCCTGTGCTGGGGGGTTCGTTCTTCCTGTTTCATTACGCCCCCTCTCCCCTCACCTCACCCATCCCGCACCTCTCTCCGCCTCCTCCCAGGCATACCGCAGCCACCCTTTATGCGTGTTGGAGCGGTGGCTGGGCGCGTACCCGTGCCTACGTCAGCGGCCCTGTGCTGGGGGTATCATTCTTCCGGGTTTGTTACACCCCACCTCACACCCCACACCTCCCATGGTCCCACCTCCCACCTCCCACCCCACCCACAACCCCCCCAGGCATACCGCAGCCACCCTCTATATGTGTTGGAGCGGTGACTGGGCACGTACCAGAGGCTTTTTTTTGTCAAACCTGGATTGTGATTTCCGTCTCAACCCATCCCACCCCACATTCCACGCCCTTCTCCCCGGCCCCCCTCAGGCGTACCGCAGCCATCCTCTATATGTGTTGGAGCGGTGGCTGGGCGAGTACCAGTGCCTGCGCCGCAGAGGCCCCGTGCTGGGGGCTTCGTTCTTCCCAGTTTGCTACTCACACACAGCTCGCACACTCCCCCCCCCCCCTTCTCCACGCCTCCAGGCGTACCGCAGTCATCCTCTATACGTGTTGGAGAGGTGGCTGGGCGCGTACCAGTGCCTGCGCCCCAGGGGGCCCGTGCTGGGGGTGTGTGGGGGGGAGGCGGTGTTCCCCCGCGCGTGCGTGCAGCAGCTGAGGTCGCGGCACCAGTGGTTGAAAGAGGGCAGGCGCGTGCGCGACGGGGAGACGCCTGTCAAGACAGTAAGTGATTTTTTAGCCGACTCATTGTGGAAATGACTTCTAATCAGCTTGGTTCAGAGACAGTTTCTGAGTTGACCTGCAAGCACCTGAGGTTGCTGCATCAGCGGCTGAAGGAAGGGCAAGGGTGGGGTAGATGGGTAAGGGAGGGAGGGGAGGGAACGGGAAGGGGAGGGGAGTGGGGGGAGGGGAGGAGTGGGGAGGAGCTTGCGTGATGGAGAGGTGCCTGTGAAGTGAAGATGGGAGTTGGTGGTCACTTCTTAGAATTCTCAACGTTGGGGTGTTCGTGAATTTTATGGGTTCCCTCCTCGTTTTCTTGGAGTAGCTCAAACATCTCCTCTTCTTCTTCGTCTTCTTCTGTCTCTACTGCTGCTGCTCCATAGCATGCCTCGCCCTCTGTCCAGGTTTCTTCATCTTTCTCATCTCTGCTTGTGCCCATCCCTTGCTCCCTCTCTCCTGCACCACATCACCCCTCACCCCTCCCTCTCAGCTCACACGCAAGCCCCCGACTCCTCGCGCCGTGCACCGCCGCAACCCCTACCAGTCACGCACCCACATTCTGCCCCACGAGTGCTTCCCCTCCCACGTCGCTGCCCGCATGCGTGCCACTGCTCGTGCTGGTGCTTCTGGAGGTGCTGGTGGTAGTGGTGGTGGGCGGATGGGTGGTGCAGGGTCAACTGCTGCTGAGGATGAGGATGCAGCAGCAGCAGCCGTTGAATCAATGGACGGAAGAGGAGAAGGAGCAGCAGCAGGAAGTGAAACGGGAGCAGCAGGAGCAGGAAGGGCAACAGGCGACGAACCTTCCTCCTCCTCATCCACAATCACCATTGAGCTCTTCGGCGAATGGCAGACCGACACCTGGCGGCCGCCGCCGGCAGTGGACGGCCGAATTCCCAAGAACGAGCGGGGGCAGGTGGAGGTGTGGTCGGAGAAATGCCTCCCTCCCGGCACTGTTCATCTGCGGTTACCGCGTCTTGTAACGGTGGTGCAGCGGCTGGGGTTTGACTTTGCGCCGGCGGTGGTGGGGTTTGAGTGGAAGGGGGGCAAGGCGACGCCGAAATATGAAGGGCTGGTGGTGTGTGCAGAGCACGCCGATACTATAGTGGATGTGAGTGTAACGAAGGGGTGGGGTGGGGTGGGGTTTTGAGACGTCTCAGAATGGAAGTATGAGGGGCTGCTGGTGTGTGCAGAGCATGCTGATACTATAGTGGATGTGAGTGTAACGAAGGGGTGGGGTGGGGTGCGGTGTGGGGGAGGGGATGGAGTGGAGAAAAGGGAGAGGGGGCTGTTGTGGTTAAGTTGGGGAGTTGAGCGAGAAGGGAAGGGGTAAGTAGGGATGGTAATCTGGGGATGATGTGGGTTGGCATATCCTCTGACATAGTTCCAGTGAGCAGCGGTGCTTAGGAAACGGTTTAAGCAAGTAGAAATTACTGAAAAAAAACCATGAGTTTGAAAAAACCGAGATTGGCTAGTGTTCAGTTTTACAGTCTTTCCTACTTTCTGAAACCGTTTCCCAAGCACCGCTGCTCACTGGAACTATGTCAGAGGTAAGTAGGGATGGTAATCTGGGGATAATGTGGGTTAGAAACGGAGGGATGAAGGCATGAGTAGAGTTCGAGGAGGAGTGTGTAGATTCCAGTTTTGAGGCGCCTCAAAACTAGTGTAGACAACTGCAAAGCCCCTGCCATCTCCCATTTTGTCTAATTGCTTCACTCTGATTCTCTCCGCGCTCCTTCCCTCCCTGCAGGCGTACACAGCAGAGGAGCAGCGGCAGCTGGAGCTGGCACTGCAGCGGCGGCGCAATGCAGCGTTGGAGCGATGGCATGTGCTCATAGGGGCCATGATCACACGCCAGAGACTGCAGGAGACCTATGAAGCTGCTGCTGCTGCTGACGGTGGTGGTGCTGCTGCTGACAGTGCTGCTGCTGCTGGCGGTGGTGGTGGTTCTGGCGGTGCTGCTGGTGATGATAGTGATGGTGTTGCTGCCGCTGTTGGTGTGGGTGCTATGGACGGTGAGGGGAGCAAGATTGGCGGGTTTCGGAGGGAAGGGGTGGAGCGATTGGAAATTGGATGCACGGTGGAGGGGGGGGAGGAAGGGGAGGAAGAGGACGACGATGAGGAAGAAACGAGTGAGGGGGGAAGGGAAGAGGAGGAAGGGGAGGAGGAAGGAGAAGAGGGACGGGAGGAGAGCAAGGCTGAGGAGGGTGGTGAGAGGAGGGTGAGAGCAGGGCATGTGCATGAGTTGGAAGTGGTGTGCGTGGAGGGAGGGAATCTCAGCCGAGGGAATCAAGGTGCTGCTGGTGGGGATGATGGTGGGGTTGATGGCGTGGTGGGTGCTGGTGGTATGAGAGATGTTATTGAGTGTCCTCCACGTGTGGTACGTAAGCGTTGTCTGTGTGGATTTGAGGTGGAGGTGGAAGAGATGTGATTCTTATTTTGGGCTTTAAGAGGATTCGTTTTAAGGCTATGTTTCTCATGCTCCGATGTGTGCGTTCTACCTTCAAATAGAAATACGGTATCTGTGTCATCTGCATACAGTGAGTGCAATGTATAGTATTGGCACTGGCGTATGTCCAATAAATTTAGCGTAACAAAATTCTAATAAAATCATAGTCTATCCAAGGCACAAAGTGGAGAAGGAAAGAAAAGAGGAAGATTGGAGCTGAGAAAGCAGACACACAGGTACCATGCCGTACACCTGAGTTATCAGGCACAGAACCTGAAAACATACAGCACCACAAAACCCGGTTATCCCCCACTCCACCATCCCTCCTCCACCCCTTTCCACTCCGCGTGCCCCCTACCTGTTCCCACCCACACTTGATTTTCAACGTTATGCATTTCAGGCCTTGATGGGGCTCCAAGTTTCAGCGTGGTATGGTACGGGTGCCTTGCTCGCTTGGCATGCAGTGCTGCCTGCCTGCCGACTTTTCTCTTACCGGTACTCGTCACTGCAGTCGGTCGGTGATCATGAGCTCCATCTTACTCGCTCCATCTTACTCGCTCCATCTTACTCGCTCCATCCTCCACCATAAGCGGCAAACCCCCACCCCTTTTTGTCACTATTGAGGCGCCTCAAAACCACCGTTGTCATGTCACTCCCTCCCCAGTGGTGGGCTTGACTCGACCTGGGCGGAGAGCAGCAAATATGGTGGATAATGTACCGTAAGCCCTCTCCAAGTCACCTTAAAGCACAAGCACACCTCTAGAGTCAAGACGCAAAGAAAACCCCCACCATTGTCTATGTCAATCCCCAGTGGGCTTAGGGGGAGCAGCAAACATGGTGGAGTATAGCCGCATGCGCTCCTGTGTTCTCTCCTCCGCTGCTGCTGCTCTAACACCACTGTCACCAGCAACAGCAGAAGCAGCACCAGCAGCACTAGCAGTGGCAAAAGCAGGAGGCGCGGCGGCTGTAGCAGCAGCAGCAGCGATGGTGGCAGGTGCGGAGACTGCAGGGACGGAGGAGATGGCAGAAGAGAGGGCCATGGAATTAGGATCAGCAGCAGGAGGTGCAGCAGCAGCGGCAGTAGCAGCAGCAGCAGTAGCAGCAGCAGGGGCACGAGCAGCAGCAGCAGCAGCAGGAGGAGGAGGAGGTGTGTGAAGGGCACGCGGAGGGAGGCTCTGATGGGGATGGGGTGCTCTCGAGCTGTGCTGCTCTGAATGCATAGATGGCTTTAAGAAGGCCACAGCTGCAGCAGTAGCAGCTGCAGAGGCACCAGCAGAAGCACCGGCAGAGGCACCAGGAGACGCAATAGCAGTAGTACCAGTGAAAGCACCAGCAGTAGGCGCAGTAGCAGCTCTATGCTCCTGCTGCTGCTGCTGCTGCTGCTGCTTCTGCTTCTGCTTCTGCTGCTGCTGTTGCTGCTGCTCATTGCCCCTCCCTTTCCCTGATGTGGCTCCTCCCCTGGTGTCCTTTCCTTTAACAGACACAGGTTCAATCATCTCGATCTCCTCCTCTACCCCATCCTCGCCCTCCCCAACTCCTTCTCCCACTCTTCCCAACCCTACCACCACTTCCCCTCCCGCTCCCCTCATCCCAGGCCCTCCAGCCTCCCGCATCCTGCCTCTTCCAGACCCCTCTCCACCCCTTCGAACCTCCCGCCCTCCTTCCACATACCTCACCACCGCTCCTCGCTCCGCCTGCCGCCGCCGCCACGCAAGCTGGATGGTAACAGCAGCCCAAGTCCTCCAGTGCGGTGAGTAATACTTTATCAGCGCTCTCAGCTTCTTATCTCTCAACTGGAACCGGAAGTGTGACGCTATGAAGCACAAATCAGCCGCAGAGAGGCTGAAAGCCTCCACTACAGTCACAGCGGTTAGAGTCATAGTGGCCTTGGGAAGCAAGGCTTCGTCTGGCTCTCGGGAGAGTGCCCAAGAGAGCAGCTCTTCTCCTGAGAAATGCCCTGGACCCATCTCACACGCGCTCTCGGAATAAAGCCCGAAATTCACACCATGACCTGCAGCAGCAGAACCAGCAGCAGCAGCAGCAGCACCAGCAGCAGCATCAGTACCAGAAGCAGAGTCGTTGACATTGTTCGAGCCGTAAGGGAAGCGGGGGTACCGGTGCGGACGGTGGCGGTATGGGTTGTTGGGAGCGATACCAGCAGCTGCAGTCGCTGCTGCCGCTCCTGCCACACCTGCTGCGCTTGCATCTCCTCTCGCTGCGGCCGCTGCTGCGCGTGCAAACGCTGGGACTTTAGGCCTGGAGATGACTGGAGGGCTGGGGGCGCGGGTAACCAGAGTGCCTGTTGCTCCTTGGGCTGTTGCTGTGACGTTGGATGCAACAGCAGCTGCAGTTGAAACGGCAGAGGTGGCAGCAGCAGCCACAGCAGCAGCAGCGGAAGCGGCAGCGGCGGCGGCAGCGGTTGGGGAAGTAGGTGGGGTGGTGGTGGAGATGGGTGGGGTTGATGTGGGGGTGGTTGGTCCTGCAGTGATGTTGATCGCGGGAGGACCAGTGGCGGTGCCAGCAGCAGCGGAACCAGCAGCACCACCAGCAGCACCAGCAGTACCAGCACCACCAGCAGCACCAGCAGCAGCACCACCAGCAGCACCACCAGCAGAACCACCAGCAGTACCAGCACCACCAGCAGCACCACCAGCAGCACCACCAGCAGCACCAGCACCACCAGCAGGAGGGGTGACGATTGGAGGCAGCTTGGGGATGGCAGTAAAGGCAGAGAGCGATGCATTGGATGAAGACGCAGCAGAAGCGGCCGAAGTGGACATGTGAGAGGACATGTGAGAGGACATGTGAGAGGACGCATGGGTGGACACATGGGAAGAGGCGGATCGGAGCCCAAGAGACCGCACAGCAGAGGGCAAGCGAAAGCTCATCGAATGAATCCCATGTGAGCCGCTGGTAAAGGAAGAAAACCCTGCCCCCCCCACGCGGCTACTGCTGCTCTGTACGCTGCTACCGCTCGCATCCCCAGCACCATGCCGCTTGCTCCCCCGCAAGCCCTTCCCACCAGCACCAGCACCAGCACCACCAGCGGCAGCAGCAGCAGCAGCGGCGGCTGCATCTGTATCATCCCGGGACCCTCTCAGGAACCCCCGGGCTATGAACAACATCTCCTCTACCGGCTCTCCCCGCCTGGCCACCTGTGTCCCCGCTATAAGCACCACGGAGCGCAGTTTCGCGCATATATTATCCACCACAGCCTCGTCCACAGCCTCAAACAGCGGCACTCTCCGCACCAGCCCCCGGCACAAGTGCCGTCTCACATCCCTCTGAAGACTGTCCGGTAGGCCATCTAGCAACTCCTCCTCGTGCAGTCCTCGGGTTGATGCGAAGGTATGCCGCTCCTGTCTCCGCACCTTCATCTGGAGATCCGTGGGGAGCTGTCGCCGCTGCATCCACCAGTCCAGGTCTCGCCTTCTCAAATGCATATCCTCCATGCGAGCGGTCATGGAGTGCAGAAACACCTCGATGTTCCCAATGAGAGACGTGAACAGCAGCAAGCCGCATATCACCATGATCAGCGAAAACACTGACTGCCCGATACTCGCCGTCGGCACGAGTGCATTCCCGAACGTCGCAAGAGTCATGATTCCGAAGAAAATCCCGTACATGATCTTCTCCGGCGGCCCCTGCTCCTTCAGCAGCTGCACTGCAAAGTCGTATATCCCGTAGTTGTAGCTTCCTGTGGTGCCGAACGGCGGGAAGCAGTTGTCCGTGACGTTGGTGCTGCCACCCCAGGCTGCCTGCGCGTTGTCCTGCGGCGGCGGCATGTCCCCCCATGCAAGCTGCTCTGGGCAGGTGAGCCAGTCGTGCGTGCAGGTGGGTTGGGAGTCGTTGCACTGCTCTATCAGACACTGAATGGCTGATTGGACCGTCTGGACGTACCAAAGCCCTCCGAATCCATGTGCAGTGATGAGAAACACAAGCATGTTTAGCACGAAGCCCCACCAGGAGGTGCCGAAGACGTACCCGTTGACCCTCTGCTGCCGCCGCGCCACCGCATAGGTGTGATACACCTTCACGCAGTACTGAAGCAGCATGAAGGAGAGCATGATTCCGATCCCCTCCTCCACGTATCCATACTCGCCTTCGCTGGCTTGCAGAAGGAAATACGGCACTGCGATTAGACAAAGCACCTGCGGGATCGGCAGAACCACGATAATATCTAGAAACAGCCCGCTCCAGGACGTGAGATGATGCACGGCGACCGCTCTAGCCGTCGTGATCAACTCCCCTCTCCCCAGTATCATGCTCTCGCGGGAGACATAAGCCGTGCGCAGCGTGAGGCACGAGTTGACGAGGTAGAATATGTCGCAGAGCGTGCGGATGGAAGCCATGATTATCACAAACGGGCCCTGGATGTAGAGGCAGGAGGAGTCGCTAGAGAAAGAGAGCATGTAGAGAAAGCAGGGGTCGGAGAAGAGAGAGAGGGACGTGACTCCTGCGTAGAAGCGCGACCAGTGCTTCATAGCCGGGCTCCGCGGGTCAATCACCCGCCCGAACCACCACCGCTGCCGCCCCCACTCCGTGATGCTGCTGCTGGTCGTGCCGCTGCTGCTGCCTGCTGCTGCTACTCTCCCCGCTCCTCCTCCTCCGCCCGCAGTGGAAGACTTGGGGTAAGGGGAAGAGGATGCGCCGCGGGGGAACGCCTGGGATGCGCTGGTGGGGTAGCGGAAGGTTTTCGTGCTGGTGAAGCTGGTGCTGCTCGTGGCGCTCATGCTGCTGGCGATGCTGGGCTTGACGCTGCCGCTGCCGCCACCGCCGCCGCCGCCGCCGCCACCGCCACTGCCGAAAGCACTGATGCTGCTGCGCCCGCTGGTTGTTTGCCCTGCGCGCTCCCCTTCCTCCCCACCCCCTTCCCCCCCACCCCCTCCCTCCTCCCCCTCCCGCCTCCTCTTCCGCCAACGCAGCTGCCTCTCCTGCCACCAGTCTCCCCCCGTTTCGCGCAGCCCCTGCAGGAACCGCGGGCACCCGCTCCCCCACTCCGCCTCCCCCGTCGTCCGCCTCCCCCCGCCTCCCCCTAACCCTATGGGCGCGTGCATGGCTTCGGGGGGGGGACTATCGAATATAGAGACGCCCGGAACCCCCCAGTACTCGTCCTCTTCGTCCTCCGCGCGCTCCGCCTCCCCGTCCGCCGCTTCCGCCGCTTCTAGCGCCCGCTCCCGCTCGCGCTCCTCCGCCTCCCACGCGGACAGCGCGTGTGTGCCGCCAGCGACGCTACTATCGGAGGCGATTCCGCGCAGCCTCGGGCATCCGCGCGCCGCGGAGCACGCTGAGTCACACACGTGCGGAACGAGAGAAGCTTCCTCGCTCGCGTCGCGGTCATCTCCCCCCTCTTCCCCTTCCTCCCCTTCTTCCACCCCGCGCATCGCTGCGCGCCTCCGCAGCGCGGGGCGCAGCAGCAGCGGCGCGAACACCGACGACCGCCATCCCCGCACCTCGTTCTCCTCTCTGGCGGCCTCCGCCGCACCGCCGCCTCCGCCGCCGTTGCTTTCCGCGACTCCACCCGCGTCAGGAAACGGTCGGGTCGCGTCCGTGGAATGATGCGGGTCGTTATGACTCCGCGAGAGCGTGCCGAGTCGGCCGCTGAAGAAGCCCCGAGCCGCGGCGAAGCTGAATGTGCTGGATGAGGAGGCGGAGGAGGAGGAGGAGCGGGAGCGGGAGGGGGAGCGGGAGCGCGGGTCGGCGGAGGGGGGCTGGAGGCGCGCGAAATCCGCGGTCGATGAGCTGGCGCCGGGTATCGCGGCGGAGAACGCGTGAGAAGAGTCCGGAGTGAAGGCGGCGGGGGGATGGTGTAGCGATTGTGCGGAAGAGCCTGCAGTGGCAGCAGCGGAGGATGCGGGGAGAGCGGAGGCGGGGAGTGCGGAGGAGGGGAGAGCGTCGAAGGGCGATTCCTCAGGAATACTGATGATCTCTATAACGGCTGTGTCGCTGCGAGCTCTCCCGACCGCTGGGCCCGACGCGCGGGAATGGCTTGCGCTCGAACTGCCTCCAGCCCCCCCACCGCCGCCGCCGCCGGTGCCGCTGCCGGTGCCGCCGCTGTCGGTGCCGGCACTAGCGCCGGTGCTGCCGGCCGTTGCGGCGGTGGGTGCTCCGACGGTGTGGGCCATTTGCATGGCCGATCGGGAGCGAGCCATGTGAGGACATGTGGAGAATGGGAGTGAGATAGGAAGAAAGAGCTGGAGCGAGAAAACCCGAGAGAGCGAGGGAGCGAGAAAACGGAAGAGAGGGAAGGCTTAAAATGCGACGCTCTTAGCGTAGAGCAGCGGGAATGAGGTCGTATCCCCGTCAAGTGTCAAGAGGGGCTAGTGTCATGACACCAACTCGGAGGACTATCCCTCCTGGTGTCAGCTAAACCGACCAATGAGATCACGGGAAAACGCCCAATGTGCCCAACATTGACACCAGGTTGGAGCCGCGTCCACACGCGGCTCCACTTGGTGTCAACCGTAACAACGCTTGACACCAACCACTTCTTGACACTTGCTAGGAATACGACCTGAGCTTGAAGCTCCTATTCGAGCTCCTTACTTTCCTAGGATAAATACAGGTGTCATGTGTGGACAATACGGGAGCAGGGATAGTAATCACGCTAATGCGGTGGAGTCTATGGGTGCACCCTGGGGTCATTGTGAGGGGGAATGATGACCGAATGGCTCTTTGCTATAGTAGAACTAGGATGCTGCTGATCACAACCGTCCATGGAAAAAAAGTAGGAACACAAATGAAATGTGAAACCCTGAACACCGTATGTCACTTGGATTCCACTGACGTGCAGCGCAGTGAAGTTCGTCACAAAGCGGTTCGATGAGTTAATCCGGTTTTCAGAGCGATGACTAATTAAATGGGACTGGTTGGGTGGGTTTCCGAGCTAAAACCGGTACAGTTCGTGGAGGATCTCGCGAATCTCGATTCCCTCAAGCAGCCGAAACTCGGCTGCCCACAGGTAGGTGCTTGTGTAAGAGAAACACTGTAGCCTGAGGCCAGGGCAGGGTAGACTGGAACAAAAAGTTCGGTAGGCGGCCCGGGGCGAATAGCCACCACACCACACCACACCACATCGCCAAAAGTCCCACACATCACACTGCCACTCACGAGGCAAGGTGAAACCTGTTCCGTCATCCATAAATCTTGCTAGCCATGTCAAAGCTTCCGGTCTGGTGTAATCTCGACTTGACACCAAGAAACGTTGTCGAGATAATCCCAGAAGCCCCAACTTTGGCAAGGAGTCATTTTCGTGAAATCTCCGCCTCCCCGACACAGGCGTATCTGTCAATTCCAGGGCTGGTTTTAGCAACCTGGCTGAAAATGATGGGTTGTGCTAAAACTTGCCCTGCCTTCAAGGGCCTGTTTTGAGCCCTTCCCTGGCATAACACTAATTACTACATGCATTCTTGATTTGAAAAGCAATCAAATATAGCATTTACAATTCAGTGGTTTCATTCTGTAAGAATGCATGTGTTTTTGTAAGAATAGTATGTGTTTCTCAACATCCAGGAGGTCCAGACATCATCACAGTATCTGTTTGATTTATGCTATGCACTGCCCTTTATTCAAGCCAAACATCTCTACATATCCTGAATAAGAATTTCAGTCCTTATGCCCTACTGGGCACGCATTGCCCCCCCTTCACCTTCTTATAGCCTGCAGCACACTTGCCACAAATTATCCACCCCTTCCTGTACACCTTGAGGCAGTAAGACTTGGCACAACCACGGTTAGGGCAATAGGAATCTGGAACTGCAATGGCAGGCATACGGGTGGGAGGAGGAAAGGGGGATTGAGAAGGGATTTACATGAGATTTAGGGTGATCAGGGTTGGGGAAGGAGGTGTGTGTGTGTGTGTGTGTGAGAGAGAGAGAGAGAGAGAGAGAGAGAGAGAGAGAGAGAGAGAGAGAGAGAGAGAGAGAGAGAGAGAGAGAGAGAGGGAGAGAGGTGCTACGCCTGCTCCGCTCACTTGACCTACCAGCAACCGCGGCGCTGGGGAGCAACAGCAACGCCCTGCAGCCGTCTGCAGCACACTCGGTCACCATCCAAGATATGGAGGGACGACTGCCGCCGCTGGCGCTGCAACACCTCCGTGAGGAGCAAGAAACCCCGTCCCAAGACCAGCTTCAGCGCGCCCTCTCTCAGGAGGTGCACGCGGCAAAGGCCGATGCCCTGACAGAGGAATCACGCTTAATCAGGTCAGCCCCCGAGATGGGCCACACGCTCCGCCTCGTCAACCTTAGAGGCGAGGGAGCGGGAGCATGGCTGCAAGCCCTACCCCTGACACCAGACCTCTGCTTCTCACCAGGGCAATTCTGAACAGCCCTGGCCTTCCGCATGGGCACCCGACAGAACGTACCTACCGTGTGCGAGTGTGGAGAGCTCGTGGCCGACTGCAGCCTACCCAACCACTTACTCCGCTGCAGCACAGGCCCGGACAGAACGCGCACACACAACCAACTGGCTTTCGCCGTGGCTAAAATGGCGAGGGAGGCGCAGCTGGTGGTATACCTGGAGAATGCAACGTACTCACCACCGGATGACCCGAAGAAGGCAGATGTGATTGTACGCGACCCGGACAGTGGAGAGACTTGGATCACAGACACTACTATCACTGACCCTGTGCTGCAGAACCGAGACCCGACAGCCCGCAAACCCCCAGGCTGGGCTGCAAGGGAGGCACAGAGGCGGAAGGAGAGGGACTACTACAGGCACACCGAACACGTGGTGTTCTGCGCCCTGGCCGTCGAGACCTACGGGGCAAACGCGCCCCCCACGACAGCGTTCCTTAAGCTGCTGGCCACAGCAGCAGCTAGGAACAGGTTCAGGGCCAACCCCTTGGCCAAATCGGCCAAGAAGATGGCCTGCCACTTCAGCCAACGCTGGTCAGTGGCCCTCCAGCGCTCCCAGGCGAATGCCCTGCACACCAAGGCCAGGGCTGGGATCGAGGCAGCACACCCCCAGATGGCAGCAGACCCCTGGCCGCTGCACCTGGGGGACATCCTCCACACGCTGGAGGGCTAGAGGGTCACTCAGGGGGGGGGGGGAAAGGGGGGTGAGTTAAGGGGCTTAAGGGATGGAGGTTACCATGGATAGCACTGCATGTTTGTACCCCTGCTGAATCAATACAAAGGACCATTTGAGAGGGAGAGAGAGAGGGAGAGGGAGAGGGAGAGGGAGAGGGAGAGAGGGAGAGGGAGAGGGAGAGGGAGAGAGAGAGAGTGAGAGAGGGAGAGAGAGAGAGAGAGAGTGAGAGAGAGAGAGAGAGAGAGAGAGAGAGAGAGAGAGAGAGAGAGAGAGAGAGAGAGAGAAAAACAGAACCTCACCAAAGCATGTTCGAGTGGGCAGCTTGTATGACAGGCAAGCAGGGCAGGAGGCATTCAACTGGGCGGCAGAGAGGCAGGGGTAGGGCGGTCCCTGCGTGCGCTCACACATGCTAGCCTCCTGTATGGGCCAGTGGTAGTCACTGTAGAACATCTTGCGCCTGGGTGGGGAGGTGAACCGCAGGGGTGGGGAGGTGAAACGGAGGGGTAGGTAGGTGAAACGGAGGGGTGGGGAGGTATAACACATGGGAGTTGCGGAGATAGCAGCAGGAATGGATGCAGAAATCTCTGTTTCTATGACAACAGCTATGGAAGTTGAGAATCGAAGGGAGGTCGCGATAGAAGTAGTGGGAGGGGGGAGGAGGGAAGGGGATGGGAGAGAGCGGGGAAATATGGGTGGATGACATTGTTTTTGTTTGTTTTGTGTGCGTGTGTGTGTGTGTGAGTGTGTGCGTGTGTGTGTGCGCGCGCGCGCGTGTGTGTGTGTGCATGCGTGCGTGGTTGTGTGTGTGTGCGCGTGCGCGTGTGTGCGCATGCGTGCACGTGCTTGTGTGTCTGCGCGCGTATCTGTGTCTGTGTCAATACGTGCGTGCAAATTAAAGCAGACTACTATGACAACACCCGCGCCCATGCCACGGTTCCACCGCACGCCCGCAGCTGTACCAGCACTGGTCACACACGTCAGCGTAGCACACCCATTTCTCCATGATGGAATCGCAGTCCGGGCCCTGCACATAGTCCATCCCCATGCAGTCGCTCACGAACTTGATGCTCGTCACGTCTGGTAGAATTTTGAGACGTCTCAGAACTTACCAACACTGGTCACACACGTCAGCGTAGCACACCCATTTCTCCATGATGGAATCGCAGTCCGGTCCCTGCACATAGTTCATCCCCATGCAGTCGCTCACGCACTTGACGCTCGTCACGTCTGGTAGAAGGTAGGGAAGGGGTTGAAGGTAAGGGGGAAACGACAGGATGAAGGGAAGGGGACTAATAGCAGTTAGTGGGATGGTAAGTTCTTGAAACACACCCAATCGGGCGGAAGGCGGACGTGAGGCGGAGGTGAGGCGGAGGTGTGGCGGGCAGGAGTGGGGCCGAGAAGGGGAGGAGGGGAAGGGAGGGGACTGGGGAACGGGCGTTGCGTGCAGTCTCTCACACTGCACTTGGTGGTGCTTGTGCTGTGTGGATCATGATAGGGGGTTGTTGAAGAAAGGAGGCAGTAGATGATGAGCTGATGAGGAATGAGGGAGAGTTGTTGAGGGGACAACCCGATAAGCGAATGAACGCCAGAAAATCCGTAGAATCGCGACCGGAAAGAAACAAATAAAATTTCCAGGAAATCAGTCCACGGATCAGGTTGCGTATGGAGCTTTCTCCTCCTGGCCTTCCCTTTTCCCCAAAAATCCCTCCCGACCCATCCCCGTTCCTTCCTCTCCCTTTCCCCTCCACCCGCCTTCGCGAATCGGCCTATGTCCCTTCACTCATCCCCACTCCCGCCTATCCCCCGCTCCCCCGCGCATTTTTTCCCTCCATCCCACCACACGCTCCGGTTTTCCCGGAATTCTTACTTTCAGGGCACGTCCGACCCTCGGGTACGCATCGTCCGATGCCATGCACGTTCCTCTGTTTCTTAGCGGGGATTCCGTTAAAGAACACGCAGTGCAGACCCGAGCCGCAGAAGGGCCCGGGGTTCTTCGACGCGCCTTGGTCGCGGTCCCAGAGCGTGTATCCCAAGCATCGCGCTCCGGCTTTCAGGGTCGCGTTCGAGCCGGTATCGGCTCGCGCGAAAAACGACGGGTGCTTCGGCGCGGAACGCGGCGTGCCGTGCGGGTACGAGAGGGGAGTTCGCGGGAATAGAGCTGACGGAAGGAACGGGAATGTTAGCGGCGGTACCAGTAGCGTAATCGTCGCTACAAGGAGCACCGCTGAGGATTGTAACCGATAAGAAAAGCGATACGTCATCATATCGACGATGGTCGAGAGTAGACGAACGATGATCGGGTGGAGTTGCAATATTCTATGGCTGACCGACACGGTGTCGAGATTACGAGTTAATCTATTACTACGCAGCGAGAGGATCGTGTCCGCGAGCTTCGACAAGCTATACAAGTACGATTTTGCTAAGGCTGTCGTGAGTTCTGAAGGCTCCAAACCAAAGCTCTTTTGACTAATATTGTTGTGTCTTACTCGTCATTGTGAGGCCAACTTATAGCAGGTGGACAGGCATCATGGCTGCTGCTGCTGTCGTGCCACCTCATCCCAAATCGCATCTGATCCCATCCCGCAAACCGTCTCCCATCCCACCTTCTCCCATCCCACCCATCCCGCCCCCTCCCTATCTCCCACCCTTCCCATCCCATCACATCTTCCTCGTCCTTGCCCAATTTCCGCCCCCACCACCGTCATGTCTCCATCGAATTTGTCGCGGTGGCGCGGCTTGCGACTTTTGTTGGCTCCACCCACACCAAAATGTTGTTGAGCTGGGTAGTTTTTGGCACTAGTTTTTCTCTGGTTCTGTTCCAAGTTCATCAACGTGTACGCTATATTGGATAGTTATTTGTGATGTGAGCAGTGTGTGTAGTGTATCTGAGAAAACGAAACGGCTGTCCTGTCTGCCTGCCCAGCCACAACAAATATCATCTGACACACAAGCGCCGTTGGAAACCGAATCGCGCCGCTGTTGCCGTCGATGTAGTCAGCGGGGCGCAGACTTACACAAAGGGCTGCGCTAGCAAGCAAGAACTGTGACGGAGACATTTCCATAGTGCAGAATATTTGAAGCAACGCACAGGTTTTGTTCTAAACAATTTTAACTAAACCAAAGCAACCTTAGTGATTTATTCAGTAAATCTTGCTTTTGGTTTACTGAATACATCAGAATTATTTACTGATATATTCTATGTAAAGACACATCACATAATATTTCCAATTAGATTGGTTGATAAACAACAATCTTAAGACGTAATCGCAATAAAAGTGCAACCATAACTTTTCGTCCAAACGGAAAAGTGCCTCCGTTGGAAATCACCTCAAGCAACTGGAATATGAGATACTCGTGTTTACCACTAATCGTGTGTGTGCGTACGTATGTCTGGGCTTGCACGCATATGTGTGTGTGTGTGTGTGTGTGTGTGTGTGTGTGTGTGTGTGTGTGTGTGTGTGTGTGTGTGTGTGTGTGTGTGTGTGTGCGTGCGTGCGTGCGTGCGTGTGTGTGTGTGTGTGTGTGTGTGTGTGTGTGTGTGTATGTGTGTGTATGTGTGTGTGTGTTGTTAGAATCTAGCAGCAGGAATGATTGAACTATGAAAGTATTGGGTACAAATATGAAACCCTAAAAGGGGCTGTACCCCATATTGGCTACCCCACTACAGCCTACACATATATAACATGCATATACTTTGACACACCCCCATAGGCAAAGTGGGGGAGAGCAAGGGGTCACAAGACCAGTAAAGAGAAGCAAAGCAAGCTCAGGGTGGATCACAACGTCACCACACACACTGAGCACAAGCAAAGGGCCACAAGGCCAGTTCACATGCGGAGGTATATATGCAACAACAACAGCACAGTGATCTCTACCTAGCAGAGCAAGCATGCAGGTATATATATAGATCACAGTACAAGCAAAGTCTACAGCAAGTGAGGAAACGTGGTCACAAGGCCTAACAGAGTGCAGAAACGCTGATGATCACCAGACGGAAGCGCCTTGGTGAATATATCAGCAGTGTTGGCCCGAGTGGCCACGTGAGCAAGACGAAGCTGACCACGCTGCTGCAACTCTCGAGCCAGGAAGTAACGCAGAGCGATGTGCTTCGTTTTGTGCTCCAGTCTGTGCTCCTGACACAAGGCAATGGCGGCCTTGTTGTCGACGTACATCACTGGAGGAGAACGAGGCCGCTCTCCCAAGTCGGTCAGCAGGTAGGTGAGCCAGCGTAACTCCTGTGCAGCCATGGCTGTGGCGTAGATCTCAGCCTCACAACTGGAGCTGAGAACTGAAGACGAGCGTGTAGAACGCCAAGAAACCGAACCAGAGCCAAGGCTGAAGGTGTAACCCTGTGACGACCGCTGCGTAGCCTGGTCGTCAACCCAAGAAGCGTCTGAGTGCCCAGTGAGGACAACGTCGCTCCGTCCTCCAAGCACGAGCCCCATGCCCGATGTACTGCACAAGTAGCGTAGTACCCTCTTAGCAGCATCCATGTGCACCTTTCGGTGCCGACCAGGAGCCACGTAGCGAGCCAGAAGGCCAAGAGGGTACGCAAGGTCAGGACGAGTGCAGGTCATCAGGTACATGAGGCAGCCCACTAGCTCTGGGTAAGGACCACTCGGCTCTACGGACTCGTCCGAAGGTGGAGCTGAGAGCGAGTGACCTGTAGCCAGAGAAGTGGCCTGTGCCGAGGACCAGGTGAAGCCGAAGCGCTGAAGGACCTGCTGCACCATGTGTGACTGAGTCAGTGTGATGGTGCGGCGTGCTCTGTCCCGGGTGATCTGCAAGCCAAGGTAACTGCGCAGCTCACCCAGGTCTGTACACGTGTGTCTCTTCTGCAGCTCCGACTTCACCAGGGCGAGAGCCTCAGTGTCAGCAGTGGCAAAGACCAAGTCGTCGACGTACACGAGGATGTAGAACGGCGGCAGCGAAGTGTCGGTGCGCAGAAACAGCGACGGGTCAGCAGTCGACGGAGAAAACCCAAGAGCCGCAAGTGTCGTCCTCAGTGTGTCGTGCCACTCACGCGGCGCCTGGCGGAGACCGTAGACCGGCCGCCGGAGGCTCCACTGGGTACCAGGAGGGAACGACCCAGTGAAGCCAGGTGGGCGGCGCAGCCAGATCTCCTCGTGCAGGCTGCCCTGTAAGAAAGCTGTGCTGAAGTCAAGAGAGTGAAGCTCGTAGTCACGCTGAGCGGCAACGTGCAGCAGCACCCGAAGAGTGGTCATCTTCGGGGTGGGGGAGAAGGTATGGAAGAAGTCAACACCCTCTCGCTGACTGAAGCCTCGAGCAACGTAACGAGCCTTGAAGACAGGAGGAGAACCTGGCGGCCGCTTCACCCTGAAAATCCACATGCCACTGACGATGTTCGCCCCAGGAGGGGGAACCTCGTCGACGTAGGTGCCTGTGGACTTCCAGGATGCCATCTTTGCGTCCATGGCTGTCTGCCACTGAGAGGAGTACTCACCCTCGATCGCCTCAGCGTAAGAGCGCGGGGTCGGGATGTCTGGAGCATCCGGGTCTCCCTCAGGGGCAAGCAGCATGGACACGAGATGAGGCGCAGCGGCTGCAAGACACTCAAGGTCCTCCTGCCTGTCCTCAAGGACGTCCGCGCCAAGAGCACACTCACCCCCGACGGACGGAGGACAGACAGACTCAGACTCAGCAACAAGACTAGCGGCGTAGTCTAGACGACAGGCAGCAGCAAAGTCAACAAGCTCAGCGACTAAGGCAGACGCAGCAGCAGACTCAAACGACGGGTCAGTGACAACAGTGGCTAGCAGACGCGTGACAGTAGGGTGCGCAGCACGAAACCGGTCAGACTCGGGGTCCGCAACGACAGGCAGAGAAGACGCAGGAGGAGACGGCAGAGGAACACGCTGCGGAGGAGAGGAAGGACGACGGACTACGAGGTGGGTGTCGGGGACAGCCGGCTGACGCGGACGAGGAACACGACGACCGGAACAGACAGGCGAGACAGGACGCGACGCAGGCTCACGACGCTCAGTAAGACCTCCTAGCTGCTCAGTGTAAGGAGAAGGAGCAGGCAGCGGTGAGACAGGCTGTAACGGAAGACCAGAAGACGAAGGGAGACTAAGAACCTGGCGAAGCACAGAGTCAGGCGGTGGCTGAGACGACGGAGACGGTGGAGCGAAGAACAGGCGCGGCTGTGCAGTGCCACCAGCACCAGCAGCTCCAGTACCTCCAGCAGCTCCAGAACCCTCAGCGCC